GTTTCACCTTTTGAGTTGCTGTACTGACATAAATGAACATTTGCACAATATTCTAATTTTTCGAGTCACCTGTAGATACATTTTAAAGCCAAACATCTCAAAGCGGGGGAAGGCAGAAAATTCCAACCCTGGCCCATCTAGCAATGTGTTATTATATCACTGCCAGGCACTCCATGGCCTCTGCTTACTCTGAAGTAGGCAGAATAGGTAGACAGTCTTGTGGGGAGAGGGAGATTTCTTGGATGATTGCTTGCTTCTTCTAAGAATCAAGGGGTTAAACACCTTTTTCTTTCCTGCAGAATGAACCAGGCACCTACAGTGGGCTTTGAGGCAGATGTTGGGAGCAGGACAACCCACCACTTCATGTACCCAGAAAGTGCTAAGAACTTGCCTGCCAATGTCAGTTTTGTTCTGGTGCCCTTCAAAGCCTTGGATCTGCTGTGGATTGCCAGCGCCCTCTCAACTGGCCAGATCCGATTGTACGTATCTCTGCTAGAAGCTGATTTGAGGAGCAGTGAGCTAGTTATTTGGGGGAAGGTTCTACATCTCTCCTTTTCACACCTTTTCAAAGGGGAGCTGATTTACTGTAGCTGCCACAGTGTTGACTCGGCTGGTGGTTAGTTATTCCATATGAGGTACTCAAGACCTATGGCCAAAAGGGCTGCAGGTGTCCTGTATATGCACCACATGCCCTAGTCACCTCTTGCATGGAATATTGCAAGGTATTCTACATAGGACTGCCCTTGAAGGTGACTCAGAAGCTACAACTGGTCCAGAATGCAGCAGTATGAGTAGTTACACTTCAATGCGCCCATGAAACATTGCTATTACATGAGCTGTGGGCTTCCAGGTATAATTCATGGTACTGGTGGTCACCTATGAAGCCCTATATGACAGAGGAGTATTTGTGGGGTCATCTGTCTCCAGTTCTCTCTGCCATCCTACAAAATCTGATGGTGTTGGCATGCTCTGTGTCTCATCAATTAAACGTCATCTTATGGGAGCCAAAGGTTGTGCCTCCTCTGTTATAGCGCGTGCCCTATTGAAGAGTGTCCACCCCAAGATTCAGATAGTCCCAACCCTGGTGGCCTTTAAGAAGGCCCTGAAGATCTGGTTTTTCTCCCAGGTCCTGAGTCCAGATAATATATGAGCCCATTGTAAGTTATTGGAGGTCTGTTTGTCCTGACATGGTTTGATTATTATCTTTTTTTCCGTTGCAAAGTTTTTAACCCATATAAGCTGCCCAGAATTACTTGATAAGCGAGCGGCCATACTAACAGAGGAAATAAATAAAGACCCCTGCCCCAGGAAGATATGAAGAGCAAGTTAGCTCCATTTCTTTAACTCTTCTACTTGTGCCTTGAATTAAGGACTCCCAAAGTTTTCTTTTCTTTGTGTAGGGGATTCCTTGGCAGAGCTCAGAAATGCTGTTGGAGAGAGGCTGGCTAGACCATAAAAGCCCTCCAGCTTCCTCTGGTCCTTCCTTCTATCCTGCTGCTTTTGGGCTTGCCTGTCATTATTTTGCAAGTGCTCAACTCTTAGAATCTCTCTCTCTGAGCAAAAATCTCCTTTACAGGCTCAAATACCAGAGAAGGCCCTGTGCATTAAGGCCAGATAATCTGTTGATGGGGCAGAAGCGGTTGATCCTGATTGGGGGAGGCATCTGCCATCTTTGCTTCTTTCACTTCTGAAGCGGCCCAAATCCTCCAACCGCCTTTCTGCCTGTTACTTCTTGTAGCTGCTTGTCCCCAGTTCCTTCTCTCCTTTAGGAGCAGTAAGGAACACGGCTAGTTTTCTTTATTTCACATGATAAAAACATTTAATTCTTGCTTTTTCTCTCCTGTGACACTTGTAGTACTTATGCACCAGTGAAGCCATTCCTTCGGGTGGACAAAGAGAGGGTAAGTTGGGTTGGCTGAACTTGCTTTATTGCATAGAGTTTATTTTACCAATTCAACGTTTATATACTCCCATTATGTGTTGTATCCCCAGGATTTACTCAAAATTAAGGAAATGCAAGAAAATACAATATAAAAAAAAACACATAAAATGATGTTAGGGTGGCCATAAGTAAAACCACATCACACAAGCTCTCAAATGCCCAAGCTGCCCCTTGCATTGGTTCTGCATCCCTTCGGCTGAGAGAAGGGATGGATGTATTCTGGCAGAGATGGGCAGATTTCGTCAGGTATCCTTTAATTTATACTCCTGCACTTAGCAGAGGATTGGGCTGGATGACCCGTGGTGCTGGTAACTCATCAACTTTTGATTTTTACTTGTTTTAATGTCTCATTTACTTCATGGATGCAGAAAATCTGGTCTGGGGGCTGTGTGTCACCCGCCTTCTTCTCTTCCATGCCCTGGGGCCCTGCCAGAGTGGGTTGGGCTGAAGATCTAAGGCATTCTTGTATTTTTGAAGGTTCAGGGAGGATCAGAGGGTAGAAAAAACCCTTAAGCCTTGAGGTTCTGATTTTGCACTGTGAAACTTCATAAGATGGGCCTCTGTTCCACCTATTTTGGGGGATTAGCCATCCACATCATCTCCCAAACCTGGCATGGTCCTTGAGTCTCAGGTGGTGTACATCCTGCTTTAATTGCTGGGTTTATTTTTACATCTTACTGCTTTTGTTTACTGATGTTATTTTTATCTTACGCATAAGCCACATTGGGAACACTTTCTGTAAAGGCAGTATTCAGAACCACTAGAAGCAACCAAACTTGAACGCTGTCTTGGTCTCGCTCTCTGAATCCCTGTTGGGACTTCTCTGTGGACTATTCTGGTTGTCACACAAAGACCTGAAATTGGGCTGGCTGAACAAAAAGCTTCCTCTTGCCTTGACTTCTCCCTTGATTTATCACCTCTAGGTTCAGATCTACAATCCAGCATTCTTCAAATATATCCATGACCGGTGGACAGAGCATCACGGCCGCTATCCATCCACAGGCATGCTGGTGCTGTTTTTTGCACTGCATGTTTGTGATGAGGTTAGTTTTGATATGCCAAGCAAGTGCAAGACTCCTTCACTTCCATGATTAAATTGTGCATATACTTTTTTGTGAATTTTGAAAAATTAGAGTTTTTGGTATATTTTTCACCTCAGATATGAGATGTGCAGGAAAGAGCACTGAGTTGTGGCCTGTTCTTCTCGGAAATGGGAAGCAGAGTAAAAGAGTAAGCTCTCCACCAGACACACAACTAACACGCTCTGAGTTCTTTCAGGCTCTGAGCTGCTTAGCATATCAATGGATGATTTGAATGAAGGGGCCGAAAAGGTAGTTAAACAACTGGTGGGATGATAAACTGGGATGGATTGCTAATACGATGGGAAAGCAGTGTCAGGTGATCCTAAGTCCTTCACTAGAGATACTCAAGCAGAGGTTGGACAGCCATTAGTCAGAGATGTGGCATTGGACCAGGTGATTTCTGAGGCCCCTTCTGACTCTCTGACTCCATGAAATGCGTCACAGTTGAACTCAGTGTTTTCTTTCTTGGATACCGTATGTGCGTATTGACCTGGTGAGTTGCCTAAATGAATGGGAATCCTTTGGATGCCATTCAAAACCTGCTTTGGAAGGAGACTGAGAAGGGGAATGTTGGCCAGACAATCAAGATGAAGGCAGAAATGGTGCCAACTTTTTGGTGCCAAAAAAAGAGCCCTAGCGATAGAGTGAATTGTTTTCCTTCAGATTATTGCTTTATGTGATGTCACGTGTGTTTTTTCTTTTGCTTGTTCCAGGGAGGTTAGAAACTAACGTTCAACATAGGGAAGGTATTGAATGAAAGAATATCAATCATGTTTCATCCCATAAACTTATTTCAGTAGAAAATGTAGGATGGTGTCTTTAAGTTGGCTAGAGTTCCCCATAGTGATTGGGTCCTCTTTCTCTCTCATTGCTTGTAGGTGAATGTCTTTGGTTTTGGGGCAGACAGCCATGGCAACTGGCACCATTACTGGGAGAACAACCGCTATGCTGGGGAGTTCCGGAAAACTGGAGTGCACGATGCAGACTTCGAGGCACATATCGTTGACATCCTGGAGAAGACCAACAAGATCAGTGTTTATCGTGGCAACTGACATTTCCAATTGCTGCTTGGAAATCTGGCTGTCAGTGGATGAGTCAGGAGTGATGGTGGACTTTCGGTAGAGATTCCCTTGCACCTTGATGCATCATTTTGCAAAGCTGTTCTTTGAAGAGGGTGAAGACAAAATGTGTGGCTTAGGGAGGGGGTGACACCAAAGCCAGGGGAAGTTCCAATAAAGCAGATGCAAGCAACCTGTAGAGAGATGCCCAGTTCCTTCTTTCTCTGAACACAACCAATGAAATGCAGGGGCCTCTGAAATAGTCCTCACAATCTAAAGGAGAGAGAAGACCGGCGGCGCCAGTTAGTTTCCTCCTTTTTCCTTGCTTTTGCCCAAGTCTAAGTGCTGACTCTAAGATTGAGGCCCCTTTTTGCCTCCTTTTCAGCTCCAATAAGCACCACTGGGTGCATATCCAGACTCTTTTTTAAATTAAGTTTTTCTTCAATAAACAAGAATAGCTTCCTGCCTTTGCTCTGGGAAGTTAATTTTTTGGGGTTGTTTTTTTTTTTTTTTACAATTGGATGCCAGGCAGCTGGAATGCATTTTCATTACAATCATGTAAACTCAAGGCAAACTGTCAGCAGAAACCATGGAGGAGAAGCTGGAAAGCTTTTCTGGAGATGTGTGCACATTGACATCTAGCTCATGGCAAAGTGTGTTTGGAACAAGTGTATGCTCTTGTTCCAGGAGCACTCAAGAAACCCTGCCAAAAATACTCCGATTCTGCAAGCTGTGACTTGAACTCTTCCTTTTTGTTCTGCCCTCAAATAAGATCACATCCCTACTGGCTTCGGGTGAACAGAGGAGCCCTCAAGTTCCTGTCAGCCCAGACCTATTCTACCTCCCTCTTTTTGCTCTATATATTTTTAGTTGCATGTTCTGCTCATGGTAGGGATGCAAGGAAGATGCGCTTTTCAGATCTCTCCCCCTCCAGATTCCAGCCTTTCTCCAGGGGAAGGAGGGGCAGTTGTCTCTACCATCTTTTGACAAATGGGTCACATTGAGTCAGAATCCTGATGCCTTCCCAGATTTAATCCACAAGTGATTAACATTTTGTAGACCATGTTCTACAAAGGAGCAGTCAGAGTTGGCAATTTTATTCCTGCATTCACTTTATTAACCAAAGGGAGGTGGCAGGTCTGTCACAGGTACTTTCAGGTTGGTTTATTTCTGCCTGTTAAATTGTTGGCCCTTTGTTGAGAGCAAAAGAAGGTGCTCTGAAGTGAGCTGGGCTGCCTTTTCTTGCTCTGGGTGCAAAAAACAGGTGGCTTCAGTTGCTTTGGAGATTAAGGAAATAGCGAGACCAAGTTACTCATAAGGGGTTTTGTTCAAAAGGGCAATCCCATCAAACAGTATTCAATCAGTGTTTTCTTTCTTAAAATAATTGAATTCTGCAGCATGAAGGAGCTGTGGATAGCTGGTGGCTTTTTGTTACAAGCATGACTGACAATACTTTCCCAAGATATCTTTGGAGCACTAAAAAGTAAGGAATTGCAGCAGAGACCTGAATCTGGTTTATAGTCCTGACTAGATGGCCTTGGCATGTAAATGGCTTCTAAGCAGACAGCCCGGGCACCTTTCTGTGGTCATATCAGAGCTGTGTGTGTCCTCTGCAATGGTGCTAGGCTGCACGTGAGCCTCTGGGACAGTCCGTACCCCCAGCATCAAATCTGGCCTTATGGCCACCCCTCCCTCCCCTACTTGCCTTCTGTAACTGGATTGTAATTCTCCCTTTGGTGTAGCCTAGAGATTGCTCTGAACTCTCTAGCTCGGTGTCTTAAGACCTGCAGATGCCTGCACCCAAAGATATAGCAGGGTTCAAGGCAGGGGTTTGAACGGGATCCCCTTGACCTTTTTGCCTTCTCCTCCTCCTGACCAGAGTTTCTTCTCAAAAGAGGTTGGGTATCTGCACAAAGGTCAACTGACTGTTTACTGAGATGGGACAGGCAAATCATTACCAGTATCATCAGGACTGAAAGGGTCCACTTGACCCGGTGGAGGTACTCTCGATGGCCTACAAATTTCACGTTGCTTTGATTCTGGTAACAAGTGTTGTGTGACCTTGAGCTCTCTTCCCCTTGATTCCTACAAGTGAGATATCAGCCACGTGCATGGGTGTAGTGCTCCCTTGTCCCTGGGCTTTTGGGCTCCAGGGCTGGAAGCCACAGCGTTCTGGTGACTTCTGCCCACAGTAGTTGCGAGTCAACCTCCAGTTGATCATTGTACTATTTCTAGGGGGCATCCCTAGTGAACTGTTGATAGCTGTCTGCACATGTTTATCCCACTCTCCCTGGCATAGCATGGCCTGATAGGGAGACTGGCTAATCCCAGGGGCTTCTACAATTGGCAGAATGGCCATCTGGCTGCACTGAGGCTGCAGTTATTTCTTAGACTGGACCTACACCAGGTGCCAAATCAAGGGGGTGACATTTTGAAGTAGGAAGATCTTCTGGTCCCTGATGGTCCAGCCTGGGCTTCCTGTTCTAGAATAACTCCTTGCCAAATCAGCTGCTGCTTCAGCTCCAGAGATTTGCAGCCCTGGCTGTCAATTCCTTTCTGTGGTGTAAATTGAAGGCTTGTTTTCTGACTGTGGCTCATGAGTATAGGAAGTGTGCTCATTGCCTGTTACTTGCAAATTTTACAGGCTAAGGAAGTCATGGAGCCAAAGTGGTTTGTTTTCCTTCCTGTCTAGAAACTTGCCGCGGCAGCTGCCTGCACTTCAAAATCAGTGTTACGTGCAGTGATGCTGCCCCTCATTTTATATTTTTTAACTTCACAGGCTACAGTTTGGAAGAAACTGAATTTGTTTTGTGTTCTGCTATAAAGAATAAAAGCTGTCCTTTTTTCTTCTGTGGATTCCTGGTATTTCTGCTGCACGTGTCTTGGATTCTTTTATAGACTCCCTAGATCTCTAAGCTCAATGTACTCAGGAAGCAGACAGATGTTTAAGTAACTGCTGCAAGCTGGCCCTGCTTTCTTGGGCCAAACACAGTATGCAGTGCAATCTAACCAGTACAAAGCAAAACAGAACAATGGCCTTCCATAATCTTGATGTTGTGTTTCTGTTAATGCATCCAAAGAGAGAGAGCAATGGCTTGCTTATGTTCAGCTGGTCCACCTGTATGCCTAGTTGCTTCTCATGCATGCTGCAAAGCCAATTCCCCTGTCCTACAGTTATAAGTCACCATGATCTCTATGATTCATCACATAGGTTACACATTTGGACAAGACCTCCTTCAGAACCTTCCAAAGCTTACAGCATTGTTTGGCAGGAACCCTCCTTCCCACACATACCACGTGAGTAAGCATAGCTCTCGTCTCAGTTTCTTTCAACTACCACAATGGTAGAACTCCTACGGTATTTTGGAAATTTTGCTGGTTCCCTAATCTCTACAAGGAATCAGGTGAATTCTCCATTCCTCCACAGCAGGTCTCTGCTGTGCCATTACTGGCATTGAGTGGTGCCTTGAGTTCAACAACAGCCTTCTCCAATTCCTGCTGTTGATAGCCTCTCCAGCTCAAATCATCGTCCAGACTAGCTCTTTAACACACATGGCAAAAAGAGATTTGGGACAGATTCCCTTATTTACTACTACAGACTTCCCTTATCCATTGAGATACATAGTTCAGACACATCTTCCCTTTTGGCCACCTCACAGAGATCACAGTCAATCACATGCTTATTTTGTTTCCAAAGGGCATCTCCATTTTCATTCTGTTCTAGGTCTGCTTTTCTACGGTAAATAGTTGGTTCTTATGGTACTAAGATTTTCATAGTTCCACAGCAGACCCACAATCCTTGGAATGGCTCAAGATATAGCAAGGCAGAGTGTTACAGGTCCTGGCCTGCTCCATATTCTTTGTGAAGTCTGTCATCTACTCAAGCTGTGGATCAAACATGAGACTGACACCTTTTGCAAGCCTCACTCTCCCTTCCTCTCATCTCCAGGGCAACTCTTCAAGTCTGATCTCACATCTGTTCCAACCAGCATGGCCTCTTGCCCAAAGACCACCATCTTTCTCTTAGATGGGCCTGCATCTGCTGAGCCTCAGATTTTGTCCACTGCTCTTGAAACATGGGACCTACCATGTTCATCCCCTAGTGGATCAATGTGCTGACTTCTCTGAACCTGACAAATATGCTGCTGCTTTTTCTTTATTAAATTATTATGTTCAAACACATAAGCATGTACATGTACACACACACACACACACACACTTAAAAAAAGGAGCACAAAACCAAGCATTAACATTACCTTAACATTCCTTCTATACATTCATATTTGTATAGCAGAGGGCAGCCATAACTCCCTGACTGACATAAACCATCAGGTCATACCATATATTAAAAAGGGGTTTGTTTTAACCTGACCTGAATGGAACCAAAGAGGGTTCGCTGCTGCTGTAGCAACATGCCCAATTTTTTTAAACCTTTTGTCCAGAATCGTGGTTTTGTTCTCACATTGTTATCTTACAGTGAGTCTTTAACCATCTTTTCAATGTACAAGATAGAAATTTCGAAGTCTCTCTTTTTTTTTTTCCTGAGGTGATGGCAATTGTGAATCCACAAATAAATGCCTTAAACACACCCCCTAGGATTAATTTAGTGGTAGAAGCCATTTATTTTTTAAAAAATTATTTCCACAAAATAAAGATCTCATTAGATAAGTATTCAGACACCATCCAAGATTGCCTGATTTGTACTGTAATTTTTAAATTTCAAAATTAGAGACACTGGAGCATAGTTTGAAATTGCAGTTGGGCCAAATGAAAACTTCACAACTTGATCCATCAAAGCAGAAGAGATTAAAAAATCCAATCTATCTAAAACCATTCCAGTGCATACAAGAGAAGAAATTACAGCCTTTTCTTTTAGGGTTAAAGAAATGCCAGATTTGAAAATATATACTTGCAGTGATTTCCAGTTTTGTGAAGGAGTACTTTATTTCATCCATCCATTCATTGATTCATTCATTCAATTTATATGGCTGCCC